GATGACTCCCTACCCCGATGCCCGTCTCTGACTGTTGGGAGTCCTTCCCTTCTCCTCAAGGCCCACCTTAGACACCCCCTCTTCATAGATTCTTCCCTGCCTCCCCCCAAAATCTCCTCTCTGTGAAAATGACCTCTTCCTCCTCAAATTCCTCACTGCACTTTCCTAGCCTCCCCTTTGCCCTCCTCTCACCCTCTCCTGACTCAAAATTATTTGAGACAATCTTCCCTCATGAGATGAACAGCTCCATGAGAAAAAGGTTCTGCACCATATCAACCTTGGTAGCTCCAGCACTCAGGAGTGTCTTGTACATATGTAAAAAGAGTTTAAATGTCATACTTGTGGAAAGCTGACTTGAACAGCTTCCTACCAGGTGCTTTTGCCTCCACTACCTTCCTCTCCCCAATTTACCACCACATGTGACCTTCGTATGGCTGCCAGTCATCTAATTTAGGTGGCACAGTGGCTAGAGGGTTGGACTAGGGAGTCAGGAAACCTGAGTTCAAATCCTGATTCAGATACTTACTAGCTGTATGATCTTGTGACTTAACCTCTCTCGGCCTGTTTCCTCATTGTAAAATGGGGGTGGGGTGGGGGAAGAGGGAAAATAACACCTAATTCATCAAATGAGATAGCTTCTCATTTGTAAAATCACATAATCTCATCATGTAAAGGGTAGCTGCCCCCATGTAAATGTTAGCTAGTAATAGCAGTAGAAGTATTTAGCAGACACCCCTCAAAAAGCAGAACTCTAGGTGGAAAGTAGAGAGTAATGTGACTGCCTGGCTGGGTGGAAAGGTGGGCCCAGGGCAGCTCACAAGCCCTGCTCTGAAATGCCCTTACAGAGTTTCAGTTCCCCTTTTTAGAGTTCCCTGGCAGGCAAAGTTCTAATTCTGAGTCTATGACATCAGTCCCCACAGGGGCTGGGGCAAGAATTTCAGAAATTTGTCGTGACTTTCACTGCAGATCCTGGCAGCAATTATCACATGACAAACCAAGAAACAGACTCTAGGTCACCTGTTAATGAAAATGCCAACCTGCACACCCCCCAAAATAGACCTGCCCCACCCCAGCTCCGAGGCAGCTGGACACCCTTGCCAGTTCCAAACTCACATTCCCTACACCCTGACCTTGCCCAGCCCAGTCCAGGCCCACCTTTACTTCCCAGACCGGGGGTGGCAATACATTTCACCTTTCCAGACCAGGGGGTGTCAATAAACTTGACTTTTGCAGCCCCGGGGTAGCAATGAACCTGACCTTTTCGGGGATGGGGGTGGGGTGGGGAATGCACTTGACCATCCCGAGCTAAGGGCAGGGCTGCTCCCCTCCCCCAGGGAGGACAGCCACAAGGGGGAGCTGGGGGAGAATGTCCGGGGATGGGGCAGGGGGTGTCATCTTCGGCCCGAGCCCCCACCCCACCCCGTAAACTCACGCGTTGCCCACGTAGATCCTGGGGATCACCTCGTTGCAGGACTCGCTCGGGAAACTGTAGCAGCCGCCCTCCGACAGCAGCTCGTTCAGATCCCGCACCGACAGCCCGTAGGGCCCCGCCATGACCGAGGCGGGGGCGGGGACGGGGGCGGGAGCCCGAGCCCGGGCCGTGGAGCCGGACGCCCCTGGCCCGCCCAGCGGAGCTGGGCGGTGGCTCAGCGGGGGGCCCGCCCCCCGCCAGCAGTAGCCCGCCCCCTGGGCGTGCCCCAGCTCTGGGTCCTCATTTGCGCCAGCCGCCACCCCCGCCCTGGGAGCGTCGCGCCTGAGCTGGGAGCCGGCAGCCTGGTGGCTGGCCTGCGAGCTATCCAGCGTGGAGGGTGGACCGGTCGGGCGGGCGACCGTCCTGACTAAGCAACTGGACCCCAGATTCTAGCTTTGGGGGTTCGGCTTTGTGAATAGGTTCTGGGTGGGGAGGGGACAGTCTGGGCGCGCTTCCCGAAGTGACCCCTTCGGAAAACAGACGCTCTGAGTTCTAGTTCTGCCCTCTGACTTTTGACCTTGAGCAAGTTACATAAACTCTCAAAGGGGGCGGGGGGAAGGGCAGCTCTATGATAGTCAATTACGGAGCAGATGCAGATCTGACTTAATAAAGATTTCCTAATTAAGGTCTGCCCTCCCCTCAAAAAAGGTAAATTGCTAACTCCTCTAGAAAGGACAGCGGACTGTGTATGTCATTTGGTAGATTTCCCAAAACCTGTGGAAAAAAGGGAGAAAATGGTAAATTGCCAGCTCCTCTAGAGAGGACAGTGGACTATGTATGTCATTGATAGATTTCCAAAAACCTAAAGTCCTAGAAAAAAAGATGAAAAAAGCTAAATTGCTAATTCCTGTAGAGAGGACACTGGAGGGAGAGAGAGAGAGAGAGAGAGAGAGAGAGAGAAGAGAGAGAGAGAGAGAGAGAGAGAGAGAGAGAGAGAGAGAGAGAGAGAGAGAGAGAGAGAGAGAGAAGAGAGAGGAAAGAGAGAAAGAGGGAGAGTAAATTGCTCATTCCTTGAGGGAGGACAAGCAATCAATGTATGTATTGATAGATTTCCCAATACCCAATACCTGTGATTCTGCCCAAAAGAGGGGAGCATAAATTCCTAATTCCTCAAGGGTGGACAGTGATCAGCACGTATGTCAATCAGTCAACTAACATTTATTAAGCACCTATTACTTGCTGGATATTGTGTTAAAAGCTGGGAATATAAAGAAGACAAAAGACAGTCTCCTGCCCTTAAGATCCTCGCTCACACAGGCTAATGGAGGAGACTAGATGTAAAAAACTATCTGCAAACAAGCTATAATGGGATAAATTGGAGGTCATAAACAGAGAAAGGCACTAGAATTGAATACTGGTAGAGTTTTCAGTATCTGGGGTCCTGTCCAAAAGAAAAAAAGGCAGGTAGTAAATTGCTAACTCTTGGAGGGAGGACAGTGACCAGGCATGTCATTGATGAAGCTCCTAATATCTGTGAAATCCCAGGTCTACTTTAAAAAGAGGAAATTACTCCTAGGAAGAGGAGAGTGACCATGATTCCCAAGCCAATCAAAGGTTAGGACACAATAGAACTGAAAATAATAGTAATATGTCACACATTTATATAGGACCCTTTAAAGTTAATAGGACAATTAATGGACATTGGTGACTTGGCACAGTGTGTCTGAAGGTGACATTGGGGCTCCCTTGGTGGCTACAACCACAGAAACCACCAGTTTCTGAAGTGTAGCTGGTCTCGGGCACTCAACATTATTGAATATCTGAAAAGAAATAGATCCTCAGATCCTCAGACCTTTTAAGAGGTCACAGGATCATGGGATTCAAGGCTAGAAAGGAACTTAGAGCTCATGAAAGGGACCATTAAAAATTTCATTTAAATTTGTCTCCCATCTCACACAAGATTTCCTAGTCCAGTCTGCCTGAAACCACTTCCAGAAGTGGAGAATATAAGGAATCTGGTTCCTTGAAGGCCCTCAAATTTAGCTCAAGAGATAAATGGACAAGGGAAGCTAGGTGGCACAGTAGATAGAGCACTGGACATGAAATCAGGAGGGCCTGAGTTCAAATCTTGCCTCAGACACATAATATTCACTAGCTCTGTGACCCTGGGCAAGTCACTTAACCCCGATTGCCTTGCAAAAAAACAAAACCAAAAGAGAGAGAGAGAGAGAGAGAGAGAGAGAGAGAGAGAGAGAGAGAGAGAGAGAGAGAGAGAGATAAATGGACTCAAATGCATATAACTTGACTGGTAGAGACAACTTAGATGTCATCTTGTTCACCTCCACTCCCCCCTCTAATCATTTTAACCTGGGGTGGGAGAGTGAGGCCTGGTGACTTGTACCCAAGGTCACATGGCTGAAAGGTAGCAGAGATAAACATAGAACCCTTAGTCCAGTCTATACTCCCAAGACTGCTGACTGGTGCCCATAAAAATGTCAGATCAGATAATAATAATGATGATGATGATGATAACAGCATCTATACAACATTTATTATGTGCCAGCCATGGTGCTAAGGGCATTCATAAATATCTCATTTGATCCTCCTAACCACCTTGGGAGGTAGGTGCTATTATTATCCTTGTGTTACAGATGAGGAAACTGAGTCAAATAGAGGTTAAGTTACTTGTGACATAGCTAGTAAATGTCAGAGGCCAGATGACAGATAGATAGATAGATAGATAGATAGATAGATAGATAGATAGATAGATAGATAGATAGATGATAGATAGATAGATAGATAGATAGATAGATAGATAGATAGACAGATAGATAGATAGACAGATAGATAATCTGAGAACTACCAGTCTTCTCTGTCTCTCCCATCACCATGACCCCAATGTGGCTTTTTCTAGTTTTTCTATAGTCTCCCCTATATACCATCCAGCCAAATTGGGTGAATAGCTATCCAGCTAAACTATTATTCATTCATCTCAATCCTGCCTTTTCCCATTATTGGGAGAATAGCACTTTCTAAGGCCCTTGATTCTAAGAGAGAATTCTGGTTTGTTGTATTCCAAATTACTAAGGATTTTACAAAGATTATAATGATTAAAAGGTTTTCTTTTTTAAAACCCCCTTTTCAATTGCAGAGGAAGATACTTTTCTTTCTTTCCTTCCCTTTCCCCACCTAAATAGGACAAATGAATGTGAGACTATATGGGATCTCTTATTCCCACCCTGCCTGACAAAATGTAACTTTGTAACATCAGCAGTAAACAAGAATGAGTCACCTCTCAGTCTTATTATGGCCTTCACTGATCTGCAGGGAACTTTACAGAAAGCTTTGAAGTTCACTGTCTGGTGACCTACCTGTGAAACAGACATCAAAAGAGAATAAATTGTTATCATCCCTGTTTTGAAGGCCAGGAAACAGTAGCTCAGAGAGGTAGGTGATGGGATACTATGACCCCAAGCCACCACAAACATGCTCTGTGGGTCTTGCAACCCTCTTTCTTAGCAACTTGGCTGGGCTTTTCACTGATGTCACAACAGATTGACTATGACAGTCATTAATGGGTAAAGCTAATAGATCTCAGAGTTAATATGTAAGTGCCTCATTTCTGAACTGAGATTAGAAAGAGAAAATGAACAGCTCCTTAGAATACTTAGCGTATCCTGCAATTGTCGCTAATCACAGACAGAGCACAACTTTTAAGAAGAAACTGGATGTTGGACACCACGTGTCTCACAAGAACAGAGTGGAAATAGGTACGGATGGGTCAGAGGGTGTTCAGTGGGTACTTGTGGGTCAGAGGGTGTTGGTGTGTTAAGGATGCTGAAAAGTGCTGTCCTACTTGGGGTGACACTAAAAGAAATAATAAAACAGTTCGTGACTTCAGAACGTCACAGGGCTTCTTGGACTTGGCTTATGAATTGATTTTATTTGCCTGGGCTTCTCTTTAAAAGAAAGGACTTGGGAAAAGGGGAGACGGAGGGGGAGGGGGAGGGGGAACACACAGCAGTAAGTGGGTAATGATAGAGATGCAAAAAAACCCCAACAAAGCATTAAAAATATACAAAAGAAAGCAAAAAGTAAGTTCAGAAAGGACATGAGACAAGTTTATTACTACTTGCTAAATTTAATACACACTTTTGAAAAACTCTGGCAGTACATTATTTCACATAGAATTATTTTGTGTTCCTATTTGTATACTGTTTGTGTTTCTTGAGACTGTTAAATTCAAAATTTAAAAATTTTATTATTATTTTATTTATTATTCTTTTTATTTTAAAAAACAATGCAATGGAGGCTATTAATCAAGCCCTCCTGGATCTGGTCAAGGAGCATTGAAGGCCTAACACGTCCACTCCCGAGTTCATTTCATAGAGATGATGGGGCCTGAGGCACTCAATGAAGGGAAGTTAAAGAGAGAAAAGAAGATGTCAGTGCCTTTATTTCTAGATTTGTGTGGGATAGAAGTGTAAAAAGTCAGTTTTACAAACACCAAAAAGAAGTTTATCTGTGGGAGGGTTTCTTTTTATAGATTCTACCATTTTTGTCAAAGCACAGGCAATCTAAGTAATGTTGCTTTGAGAAATCAAACCAACTTAAAAACTATTTGGCCTTCTAAATATAAATTGATCTGTTGGAGTCTTCTTGTACAAAATGACTAATATGGAAATATTTTACATGATTGCACACGTGAACCTATATCTACTTACTGGCTCAGGGAGAGAGGAAGAGAAAGAGACACAGAATTTGGAACTCAGAACTTAAAAAAAAATAACTTTAAAAAATTTGTTGTAACATGTGATGGGGGAATAAAATATATTTTAAAATTTTTAAATCATATATAATATAAAATATAATATGTATATATAATTGATCTGGCTCTAACTTTAAACTGCTCCTAAATCTGAAAGGGAGATACGTAGATAATAGATGTAGATATATAAGCAGGGTAGCTAACTTAAGAGATCAGTATGTCTACTCAGGTTTTGTAATTACACTTCTGACACAACAAATTCATTTATTTCATCCTTTTCCTCTAGCCAAGCCTGCAGTTGATACCAAACCTCCACTGGCACACACGCACCATATTTTAAAACTAAGTAAATTACAGGTATGTGATTTGACTACTCCCAGAATCTCTTCTATGTCAGCTGAGATAGACATTAAACTCTTAACAGGGACCAATTACCCAGAACTTTGCCAATCACCAGTTGTCCAACACCAAAGCATTTTAATGGTCCCTACCTGAAATTCTTCCCCTCCATGTTTTTTCCCAACTTTCATTTCCCTCTCAACCAGCCCTGTTACTTCCTCTGTCAAATAAGGGGAGCCTTTCTCTCAAATTGTTGCTACAGGAACAAATGAATGTGTCTCTCCTGAACATAGTTCAGCTCCTGGGCACAGAAATGACGTCCCCATCATGGTGACATTTTTATTACCAGGGTGAACAAAAGAGAATTAATAAAATCGAATATGAAAACAAGCAACTGTGTCAAAAAATTGCTGATGCCCAACGTGGTCCCTCCAAGGTGGATTGCTGGAACGAATATTTTTCCAAGAGGTATTATTCTCATTTCCTTCCCAACACTGCCATGAGCCTTTTCTCTGAATACCAGAATGACATTTAACTCTCAGGACTCCTGCCTCCTTTATCTCTTCATTAACACACTACTGCCAAAACAAACTTCCTAATGCACAAATCTAACCAAGACTCTTTGCAGCTTAGGAAAGAGACTCCCTATCTATTTCAGTTTGGCATTTGGCATTTTAGCAAGCTCTTGTTGAGTTGAACTAGCTCCAGAACCGATGGTTAAATTTGGGGGGGGGAGCATTTACACCTTAGAAATAGGCAAATGTTATTAATCAGGGTTTAATTTATTATTTTATCTGACTCTAGACTTAAGAAAGTGATAGAGAAAATATTAATGCAGATTAAACTTAAAAGTGTATTATGTACATTTTCAGACAACCTGTTGATATTAAACACTTACTAGCGCTTCCTTGCATTTAAGAGATCTTGATTTTACCCCAACATTCCTCTGTACATATTGGCAGGCAACCTCCTGTGCTTGGAATTCTCTTCCTTCATATCTCTCCCTATTGAAATAGAACTCAGTTCTGTGATTCAGAGCTAGAGAGGACCTCCAACACCATCTCATCTAGTCCAGACTGTTGCCCTTCATTTTATAGATGAGGAGACTGAAGTCCAAGAAAAGCTAAGCTACTTACTACCCAAGGTCACATAGGTCATTAAGTAGTTTCAGTCGTGTCCCACTCTGTGTGACCCCATTTGGGGTTTTCTTAGCAAAGATACTAGAGTGATTTGCCATTTCCTTCTCCAGCTCATTTTACTGGTGAAGAAACTGAGGCAAACAGGGTTTAGTGACTTGCCCCAGGGGTACACAACTAGTAAGTGTCTGAGGCTGGATTTGAAGGCGGGTCTTCCTGACTCCAGACGTAGCAGTCTATCCACTGTACACAGGTAGTAAATAGCAGAGCTGGGAGCACATGATGGGAACACAGACCTAGAGCTGAAAAGGCCATCTTGTCCACCCCCATCATTCTACCATGTCTTCTGACTGACATCAGTGTACTTCCCACCATCTCCCCCAACCTCTGCTGCCTCTTTTACCTTTAAGGTCCCTTCCTGATCACCAACCCCATTCTATCCCCAGCAGAAACAAATCCCTTGTTCCTCAAATTTCTCTGCAGCACTTAGTTCTTTTATCACGTTCTGCCTGGTATTGGTCAGTCAATGAGCAGTAATTAAGCACCTGCTATTTGTCAAGTTGAGATATAAATGAAATGGCCCTTGCGCCAAGGAGCTTACATTCCTTTGAAGGACACAACACCGATAAAGATGTACATAATGTGTACATGTACCGTATGTACATAAAATATATACCAAAAAAATCAAGGTAATTTTGAGGAAAGGGAATAGGAGTGGGGAGGGAATCAGGAAACATTTTGTATAGGATTGTGACATTTGAGTTGAGCTTTGAAGGAAACTAGGGATTCTAAGGGGCAGTGGTGAAGGAGGGGAAAGGATGTGCAGACACACAACAGCAAGATGGCTACTTGGGCTCTTGTTTGTGTGGTCATCTTAACCCCTTTAGATTATAACCTTCTCAAGGACAGATAGAGGACCATTTCTTCTTCCCCTGCTATCTAGCAAAGGGCCTTGTGCACAAGAGGAGGTAATTAATGTTTCTTCCAATTAGGAGATTCCTAGGATATGGATCTAGGGCTGAAAGGGACCTCAAAAGCCAATCTAGTACAACCTCCTCATTTTACAGATGGAGAAACTAAGGCCCAGGAAGGCTAAGTGACTTGCCTAAAGCCACACAGGTGGTATCAGGTAGATTGCAAACCCAGGTCTGACCAGAGCAGCCAAAGGGAAGGTACCCTTTTATTTTCTCTCATGGGCATCATACAAACCAGAGAGCTTTCTATACAGACATGGAAATGCAGTGTTCTGAAAGCTATAAATCAAATCTAGGTGCGCCTGCACCGTTGTGCTGGTAGACAATTGGGCAGCTCAGGTTTTCATTAATGTACCCTTACCAGGTTTGTGATCGTGAGCAATTCACTGAACTAGTGCCTCAGTTTCCTCACTTATGAAAAAGGGGGTCGGGAGTTGAGCCTTTCCCTTCTACCTCTAAATCTTTGAGCACATTTATTGTATGTGCTATAGAAGCCAGGATTTCTGACTCCAGCACCAGGGCTTCTTCCACCGCACCCATTGCCTCCCTAAGTCAGTACAACCAAAGTACTCAGTTGCTGGCTGATGGTTTTCCAAGAAGAGAATTTTGCTGTCATCTAAATGCAAGGCATCATGGCATACACATTCCCTAGTAATCTTTCTAATCTAATAAGTATGCAAAGGTCACAAAAAATGGCAAGTGAACTCTTTTAAGGCCATCCCACCCAGAAATGTAAAATTTCTTAACTCCTGATACCTCAGGTCAACCCAATGAGAATTTCGTTGTTTTTGTTTTTGTTCTTCACCAGTCTTGGTGTTTTGTGGTTGTTTTTTTTTCTTCTTCTCCAGCTTAAACAGAGAAACTCGAAACAGAGAATTAGTGAGAATTACTATGGAGAATCAAGGAATTCTTCGGAGACTTGGAGACCGTAAACCTCACTATGACCGAAGGGCATCAGAGATAGACTGGCAGGCATGTGGGGCAGGGTTATATTTATTTTACTTTCTTAGACATACAGATTTCTTCCAGATTCCAAGTGAGGAAAACCTTCTATAGGATTCCCATGTAGCTGAGCTTAACAGTCAGTGAAATGAAAAGGTTCACTAAAAAGGAGGGGAAAAAAAAGAACTAAACCCAGTCATCCACAAGGACTTTCTGGGATGGCTTCAGATAGTTTCAAATAACAGAAGCTTCCTTCACCACCTATCTTGATGCTTCTAACTTAAGATAGAACAGAAAATGTGGGTTTGGGAAGGTGTAAGCAAACAGAAGAGATTAAATGTAGCTCCAAACTCATTAGTTAGTATTTTTCTTGTTGCTTAACAGCACAGTCATAAATTTCACCCCTTAATGGAATGCTTTACAATTTGCAAAAAATAACTCTGTGATGTTGGTGGTACATCTTATCATATCTCATGATTATTAATGCCATGAAAAACTGTGGTGCATGAGAAATATCATAAGGTATTTTCCCTTTAAAAACAACTCAGTAAGTGCCTACTGTGTGCCAGGCACTGTGCTACTAAGCCCAAGGTAAAGACAGATAAAGGATAGTCCTTGCTCTTGAAGAGCTCACAGTCTAATTAGGGGTGGGGGATAGGGGGAGAGGGGAACAACATGAAAACAACTATGTACAACTGTGTACAAACTATCTGTAGACAGGACTAACAGGAAAGAATCAACAGAGGGAAGGCACTAGAATTAAGAGGGATTGGAAAAGGTATGATTTCAGCTAGGACTTAGAAGAAACCAGGGAAGCCATACCCACCCAGGACTTAGCGTGTCCAATTTCCATACCAACATCAAATCAGGTTGTAAATGCTAGTTCATTGACATAAATATTTCTGCCTTTTTCCTTCAAGAATTCCAGACGGTATATAAGAAATACCACAAGATATCTTCTCTACAAAAAGGACTAGGTATGTCCCTGCCCCTTCCCTCTTTACTGTAAAGCCCACAGTTTTCACTTTAAAATCCATTCATAAGTAATAAACTCTATAAATAGCAGAGGCCATAGAGAGCAGGTAGATAAGATAAGGTATGATCAGGAGGATCTAGAAAGAGGAGACATAAATGAATTCCTGTTCTCCAAATTTCCACCGTTCTTCAGTGATGCTGAAGTTACGTTATAAATAGGTCTCTGGGACTGCCCAAGATATCATCAACTTGACAGTTTGCATATTATTTGTTACAGGGTCCTATGGACTAGATGTCATCCAGTCCAACTCTCCTTCATTTTACAGTTATGGAAAGTGAGGCCTAAGGGTGATTACGTTGACACAGGTCACGTGACTTACTGAAGTGGAATTTGAACCCAGATTATCTGTCTCTAGGGCCAGTATTCTTTCATTATTAGCAGTCATTAAATATTGGGCGAAAGGAGACAAACCAATAATAATGAACATTATCATAATGGACATCTTCCTAATGCTTTCTTAGGTTTACAAAGTGCTTTATATGTTACATTCTAAAATAGAAAAATTAATTCAGATAGACACAGACAGACAGACAGATAGATAGATAGATAGATAGATAGATAGATAGATAGATAGATAGAAAGATAAATATAGATTTGAGAATTATATCATTCAAGTCTCACAACAACCCTGGGAAGTGTAAGTTCTACAAAAAGAGAAACTGAGGTTCAGAGAGGATAAGTGACCTTCCTATGGTCATGCATAAGTGTTAGAGGTGGGCTGTGAACCCAGGTGGTCTTTACTTCAAGGCCACCATGCCATAAATAATTGTCCTATGTAATTAATGGTTCTCTCTCTTCCCCCTTCCCCCAACCTTTTTTTTCCCTCTTAATAATTAAAAGAAACATCAACATGGGGAAAAAACCCAGAAGAGGCACGGTAATCTAAAATCAACTTGGATTATCATGGAACTTCCTAAATGGATGAATGACTGGATCTTAGGAAGCTACAATAAAACTTGGTGCATGAAATGAGTAAGTTACATTATATTCCTCACCTGAATCTAGAGACAGAAATGGAACCTGCCACCAGAAAAAAAAAAAAAGATGCAAGCACGTTTTTATTGGTTTTTTTTTAAACAAAGGACATTTCACACTCAGACCTTATTACCCTTTTAGACATAGACCAACAACAAAATGAAAAAGGTGATCATCAAGCTACAAGTTGATTTCTCCACCCCCCTCCCCCAAAATTATGTGACAAAACCAAGGTTAAAAAACCAACAACACGTGGAACAGATGTCATTTTTTAGACATTCTGTCAATACACAAAACTGGAAGAAGAACCTCTCGTTTAAAATCCCAGCATACAGAACAACGATGTCTGCTCACATCTGCTGCAACAGTGAAATACTCCATTAACTATGATGAAAACATAACAAAGCAAATTGAGACCACAGTGCATAGATTTTATTGCTGACCATACAAGTCGGCACGTGTGACTTTTAGAGAAAGGATGGTTTGATCTCCCTGTATTTATTTACAGGGTATACAAATTATTCTCTGTCTTTTGAATGTCATTGACTCTATGTGATAACAGAAATATTCTTCCTTGTTCATTGGCTCTGAACTATATTTTTTGAGGATGGCCACTGTACTTATTTCTAAAAAGTCCCACAGTTATTAAAAATATTTCTAAGAGATACTATTTCTGGGTCGCCGGCTCATGCCCTCAAGGTTATGACCAGGCTAAACTGGTAATTGCAAAATTAGATTTGAAATAAATATCTTCAAGCATGTATGTATTCTAGTGTGCTAGGGACAAAGCATGATTTGTGACCACCTGGCATAAGTAGAGTATGCCATGATTAATTGGGTTCATTTTCTTATGTTGACTTGAGTCCTGTGGATAAGGGAACTGCTAAGCAACAAGGTAAACTCCACACCCATCCCCAACCCCACCTCCAAGATCTCACTGCCTGTCTTCCTGGGTTGACAGCCAAGTATAATTATTAATTATGACTTAAAAGGTGGCAAATAGAAACAGGCTACTCAGTTATACTTAAGAATCCCTGGGCACATGGTGATTTAGAAAATCACATATTTACATTAACTATGTTCTGTTGTATTTTTATTTATTTTGTTAAATATTTTCCAATTCCATTTTGATCTGATTTGACCCAGTGTTGTGGGCCATGTGGGTAGCCAGCCTCCTATCTGACACCTCTGGTAAAGTGGATAAAGAGTCAGCTGGGTTCAGGTCCAACTTGTGACATATTAGCTCCTGTGATCATGGTCAAGCCCCCCTTAACCTCTCAGTGATCCCAGTGTTAGTTAGAAGGGCTTAAGTTTCCACAGGTAGAATAATGCAGAGATTTAAAGAGCAAAGGTCCCAGGAGGTGGCACACTGTAGGTGGGCTGGTCTTGACCAATACGAAGTAAGTGAATTGTTCCAAGAAGACCCCAAAATCAAGATAGGGGTCGAGTCAGCTCAGACCAGTTAGGGTCAACCTGAGGACACCTGAAAAATGTTAGTGCGCCTGCTTAATGAACTTCATTACTATTATCTGACACTCCCCGCATAAAATATGAGCCTCATTAACGAGTCATGGGATGTATGACCAAGGGAGGGGGAACATACTTGAGCACATCAAGGGGAAACATGTAAGGAAAGGTGTAACCTGGGAACGGTTGGACCAATCCTGGCCTGGGAGGTTTCGCTCCGAATTCAACTGCATAAAAGCACACTTTCCCTTGCACTCAGGGACCACCCCTCCTGAAGAGGGGTGGAGCCCGCTTCTGGCCAGAAACGTCTAAATCCTCTGGACTTTCTTTATAATAAATTTTCTTGATACTAAATTTTTGGTGTCAAGCCTATTTCTAACACCAGTCAATTCTTTTAAGTACATATTCTCCACCTCCACTCAGGATAATAACAGTCAGTGGTATGCTGGTAAATATTTAACAACTAGCTCTTGAGAAGAAAAAAATTATGCATAGGACATACTTTTAATCTGCATTCTTAACATTTGCTTTATCAGCTTCTTAAATCCAGCCAATCAAAAAAATAATAATAATAAATCAAGCCCTGATTTATAGTGTGTGCTGATTCCCAAAGTGTAAATTTTCACACTGAAAATTTAACAGTCAGAACCCAGAGCTCGTTTAGCATACCTCTGAAATAGCCAGCATTCACATAGCATTTTACTTATGAGAGCTATCTCCTCTGATCCTCTCAACACGAAGTAAAGAGGCTACTATTCCCATTTTACAGATAAGGAAGCTGAGGCTGAGGCTGAGAAATGATTTATTTGCCTGATGTGTTCCACAGCCAACAAATGTCTGCCGAGGGGTTCAAACCTAACTCCATGTCTACTGCTCAGAGACTCTCATTGCACTAGGCTGCCTCCCTGAGTGGAGGCCTTATCTCTGTTGTTCCCCCCTTAGTATCCTAGGAACATAGATTTAAGGGACCTTGGGGGTTCATCTAGCCCAAGTCCCAACCCCTCTCGTTTGACAGATTAAGAAACTGAGACCCAGAGAGGTTAAGCTATTTGCCCAAGACCACATAAGTTGGCAGAGCCCAGATTTGACCCCAAATCCTCTGATTCCAAATCTAGCTCTCTCCCTACTCACTTTGCCTTCTCATGAGAAAAAAGAAAGAGTTAAAAAATTTGCAATTGACTTCTTCAGGGTCTGCTGGGTCACAACCAACATTTCAAAACAAAATAGAGTTAATACCTTGTTTAATTTGGAATCCTCAATTCTGCTCCACATAATCGAGAGCCCTCCAAGTTCAATTCAATTCAACAAACATTGAATTCAGTACCTCTTACAATGTTCCAAAGAGGTAAAACAGATGAATATGAGAACGAGTCTGAGGTATTGGTGAGCTTGAGGGTGGGGGAGTGGACAAGGTTTGCTTGGGAGCTCAGAATTTAAACCCACTTCCTGGTAGTAAAGAGGGTTTAGCTTTTGGCCCCTGGTCTCCAGTCTGTCTTCAACAAGTGATGCAAGAGCTTGAGCTCGTAGGGGGCTATATCTTCACATCAACACTGTCTTCGGCCTTTTAAAGAAGGACGGAGGACCCATCTAGTGTTTTCTAATTCCCATACCTAGTAATGCCCAAACTGGTGGTGAGAAGAATTTTAAAAAATCAAGCTACTTCATCTGTAATTGTAAAAACTTAGTAACAAACTAAATGTCCAACTGTTGGTAAACGGCAGGACAAACTGTGGTATATAATTGAATAATATACAGCCATGAAAAATGACCAGTATGAGGAACGTAAAGAAATTTGGACTTATACAAAGTAACACAAAACCAAGGAAACAGCAACAAAGAAGAGCAATATATACACTAATTATAGGAAAGGAAAAATATTTCCATAAGCAGAGAGAAAGAATGAGCAAAAAGTACAGAAGAGAATATAGAGGAAGAACCTAATAAATGGCTATGGTTATATTGTATGTAGAAATTTATTTTTAAGTATAAAGAGTTATAAATGTATTTATATTTGTTTCTGTCCTTTTTAAAAGTTAAGTGCACAATAAATTGTTCAAATAACTATTTTTTAAAAAAATAACCAGGCTCAAAAAAAGAGACTATGCTATTTTAGGATTTTTTTTTTATAAAATACTAAGGGGGAAAAACCTTACATTTTATAGGCAACAAAAAGAGACTACATTTAATGCACTGTCTATTCATGTGTATTAACATACATCTGTTAAAAACAAAGGTTAGTTAATTTAATCATTGGGTAGATAAAAGAGAATGGGATTGAAGGAAGGACTGAGAAAGCAGTACATACATGTACAGGGAAACAACACAAAACACTAGAACACATCAAAATTCAGATCATTGCAACAACCAGCCCTGATTCCAGAGGACTGGTGACAAAACACACCTGCTTGCCCCTCTTTTTAGAGAGGTAGATGTTAGCCTACAGGTGCAGAAAGAGGCATACACTGCCTGAGATGGTCAGTGTGTTGGTTTGTTCTGGTCAATTCCACGTCTATTACAAAAGAACGTTCTGTCAGCGGAGTGAAGGGTATTGGGAAGTGATGGAGCTCTGACAAAAACATCAATAAAACATTTTTTAAAAATCAAGAATATAGCAGAAAATAACTCGTGGTTAAAAATAAAAAATACAAACCAGTAACAGCTGTTTTAAGATCTGAGGCCTATATGGCACTCTGACAAAAACATCAATAAAACATTTTTTTAAAATCGACAATATATCAGAAAATTACTTGTGGTCAAATTTTTTTTAAAAATGCAAACCAGTAACAGCTGTTTTAGGATGTGATAATATATACATACATACATATATATATATATATATATTCAGAATCACCACTGTGGTAGCAATAGAATATAAGAACTAGAAATCCAATGCAGCATTTTCTTCTCATCACATGGATAGAAACTTCAGGAAATCTCTTCTTTCCTGGAAAATTGTCTGGAATAAGGTACTCCTGTTAAGCATTTTGGAGAGAGAGCAAACTGGACAGCAGCTTGCAAAACCTAGCTCAAAGCAATAGATAAACACAAACCAGGCCACTGTTACATCCATGCCCAATGAAAGATGGAGCTGGGTGGGCCTGGCTGAAATGAGAGGTTTTGGTCCTAATACAGCAGCTTGTACAGAGAAGAGCACAACCCAGGTAATAAAGAAATCAAGAAGAAACTTAATGGGGCTAAATTAGAATAATTAATTTCCTTTTCCTCTCTAATTCATTTGACTTTTACTGGCCAGCTGAAGCCCACTTGGGTTCTCATGGGTAGAAGGGCCAAAAATGCTTGCTTCTATGTTGGTCTCCAGCCCTTTTTTCAGCCTTAGTATTGCCGAGAAAGAGTCCAGCAATACCTCATTTATCTTTTGGCAGCCATAGTTTTATGGATTTATAGCCAAGAACTCAGAAGTATGGGGGAAACGCTTCTGAGAAGTCAAAAGAAAGTTCACAAAGTCCATGTGCTCAAGATTAGCTCACATGTTTTATATAGGGTTGTATATTCAGAGCCAGAAGAGACATTGGAAATCATCTAGTTTCACCCCCAGCTTAGAGGCCCAGAGTGGCTTGTCCAAGGCAGTGACAGAAGCAGAATCTGAATCCAGGTCCTTCTGTCTTAAATCCAGCACGTATTCCACTGGACCATGATGACTCCATTGGAATCATTCTGACTCTTATTTGTACTTTAGACATTACTGCCAATTTCAGAAAGTGAGAGAGGAGACAAAAATTATAATTTCAAAAATCATGGCTGACCGAGACCACTTAGGATGGGGCAAAGAGCCCTACTCATCTACTACACCCATGAGAAGAGAAGTGGGCATAAACCACCCTCATTGCCAAGCATTGTTTACTGCAGACTTTTCCTAGCCTTGACATTTCATTGGTAAAGGGAATTCTCAGGTGAAGGGACTTCCCTCTTCTGATGCAGGTCTGTAACTTTTCTGCAATTTAAAGTTTTAGAGAATCTTTATCTCAAGAACTTGGAGGTTAAGTGACATGCCCATGAATCAGAAACAAGACATCAACCTAGGTCTTTCTCCCTTGAAGGCTGGCTCTCTATACAGTAACTACGCCATGCTACTTCTCTATATGGTTTAGAAGGCTAGGGAAATGTGTAATACTTTTTATTAAGACATCCATTCAAAATGGTTCTGATAAAGTTTTCTTATTGAAAGGGCAAGAGGGATGCCTCCTTAATTATGTGGAAAATCCACTCATGAGAAACACCTCCTTTTCTGATAGTGTTGAATAAATGAAGAGTGACCTTATTTCCAAGGCTTAAAGATCTCTTGGCAAACTTAATTAGTTTAATTAAGGTCTCCAACTTAATTAGGTCTCTGAAACTTGAACTCAGACAGCTACTGAACTTTGGTACAAGGCATCAGTGTCAACTTTTGTCTTTGATATTTTCTACAACCAAAACGTGTTGTTCTTAGAACACCTTCATCTCCAGTGATTACCCTGATCCAAAAGGGGCCAGGTTTGCATTACAAAAAAAAAAGATTACTTCCCACTTAGAAATTTCTTCTGTACAAGGCGTTGATGATGGCAGACATGGGCGCAAGATGGAATTACCTGACCCAGCTGACTGGGACCCAGTGAGAGTCTTTGCTCAGCTTCTCTAAGATCCCTTTGAGTTCATTGTATGTACTCTGGAGATCTTCATTCACCAAGACTGTGTCCACCAAGTGGCCGTAATGCTGGTCTATGAAGGATGCTGAGGAGAGCATCTCCTGCTGCTCCTCATTCTGCAAAGGAAGGAGCCATTATGGCAGAACAGGCAAGAAACTGTAATAGTGATCAGTACTAGCATCTACATAGTGCTTTAATGCTTTACCATTACCTAACTTTATCCTCACAACTCTGGGAAATAGGTGCCATTAATCCCATTGTACAGCTGAAGAAACTGAGGCAGACAGAGGTTAAGGGCCTTGTCCAGGGTCAGACAGCAAAAAAGGTAGCTGAGGCCAGACCTGAACTCAGATCTTCATGATTCCCAG